CTGCTTCTGAGCTGGTTCCTTTTAAACCTAGCTGGACAGCAAAACTAACCAATTCCAGCCTTCAAATCCTATCCATCTTATTTGCATGGAATTAAGAAGACATTGCATAGAAAAGCCCTATGGAGCAAATTCAAGGTACCACAGTAGGGTACCTGCTTATTCCTTCAGAGTGGACAAGGGTGGGGACTATGCCTGTTTTGTTTACTGTTACCTCTAGGAACTTGAACAGTGCTGACCTAGTCAGTGCTCAGTGAGTAATTGTTGAGGGAATGAGTGGACAGAACAGATATGGAAGAGATAGGGACAGAGGACCTGTCATTTGCAGAGAATGTGTCCATTTCTGTAGTGGGGAGTGTAATTATTTTGGTAACAGTGATGGCGCTGTAGGATAAAGCACTGGACTGCAAAGTAGGTTTGAATGACAAGGTCAGTGGTTCAAACTCATCAGCTGCTTAGAAATCCTATATAAGTTTGCTATGAGTCAGACCCAATCCACAGCACTTAACAATAACAACAATGCTATTAGCCAGTGGTATAAACTGACTGTAACAGGACTGCTTTATGTCCAGACTGTGCCCTCAAAAGGAATGCCACTTTAACATCCAGAAAAGCAATAAACAACAATTTTAAGCTTTATTGAAGAATTCCAGAGGCCTGGGGACATGGTGGTAGCAGTAGTGGATAAATTTCAAGGCCCAACAAGATATCCTAAAGATCTTTTTTATCTATTTAATCTCCCTCCAAACTTCCTCTGATCCTGGCAGCTGCTACCTTCTTGAAAAACAACCTCCTCTCCTAAATTCCCTTCCATACACCTCACTCTCTGGTACCAGCTCTCCTGCCACTCTTCCCCAGCCCTCCATCCTGACTTACTCTTCTCTCTGTTATTTCTCTGTTACCTTTACTGCCTCAGGAATGCCTGCACTTACACAGACTGCCTGGCACAAAGTTAGCCCTAAACTCACATTGTTGGATGCATAGAAAGACAGAGGAAGGAAAAAAGGAAGAAAAGGACAGTGAGAGAGGGAAGGAGTGAAAGAGGAAGAATTAGAAACAGATTGGGGCCACTATCAGAAATGTACCTGGCCACAGTGGCACTGGTGTCTCTGCAGTTACCTGAAACCAAAAATACAAGCGGACCTTTTTAGGAACCTTTCTGATGACTTAGTATGGTGTCTTGCTTTAGGTCACTGTTCTTAATAAAATGTAACTAGCAGAAGTTAAAATATGCATGCCCTTTGACCCCGTAATTTCACTTGTAGAAATCTATGCCTTGAAAGTATTTGTACTGTTGTTGTTAACTGACGTCAAGTCAGTTCTGACTCATGGCGACTCTGCATAGGGTTTCTAAGGGGCAGCTGGTGGGTTTGAGCCACCAATCTTGTGATTAGCAGTCCAGTACTTATCCTACAGTGCCACACTAGTATTTCACTTAATACTAGTATGTAAGATAGTTTATATCTTATATGTATTATTTATTCTGTTGCAGTATTTATTTATTTA